AAAAAATGCAACTATAAGTAATCATGAAGGGAAAATCTTACACGTATTGGATTTGCTTGGTATTGCTTTGAAAGAGAAAGAGCCTTTTGTTTGTAGTAATCTTCGAATTGGAGGAAAAAAACCTCTTTTACACGCTGTTTTTTTCGAATCAGATAACAGAACCCTCTACACTGTTTTTCTTTTGTTACTCTATTGTGTAAAGAACAAAAAATGAAGCCCCTACTCTTTTCGTGCTTTTCTTTCCCTTTTCTCTCCTGTGTAAAACTCTCTCTTTTCTCAGCCTGTTTCCTGTCCTCTCTTCTCAAATGCTTTCCTTTTAAATTTTTCGTTGGTCTCCTCCTTTTTTCCCATCTCTGCCGATAGTCCCTTTTTTCTTATGCTTCTAGTGGTTAAATCAAAATTAAAAACCCCCCACTCTCTACAAACTGCTCCCTCAATTTTTAGTTAACTGCTGATAACTGACCAGTTATCATACATGGCTAAAAATCCTTTTTTCTCTGATTGCAGTACATCAAAGCAGTTGCATGGTTAGACAGCTACAACCAACCAATCCATTGGTCCGGGCTTGCTCCGACTTGGCCCCGGACAAATCGAGCATCTACATAAATATAAATTAATATATATTTTTCATAATTATAATTTTAAAATAATAGAATTATAAATTAAATATTTTGAATTTTTAATTTCTAATAAGAGACAATTTATAATTAAAAAGTACCAATTTTGGGCGTTGTAGGGGTGCTAATCCTTCCCTAAACGTAACCGACCACAAATCCCTTTTTATTATTAAAAAGAATGAATTTTTGGTTAAAACGCAGACCAGTTTATATTTTAATCGATGTTTTCTTAAAAACTCTTTTAAAAGATGATTTTTTAGGTATTCGACATACCTAACCCAAAAGGCCGATGGCAACTCCCAAAATATTTTTTTTAAAAAAATCAAAATCATTAATTTATTCACATCACTTTTCCCGCCAAGTAAAAATTCGTGCCCGGACGAAAACCGGTTACGACAGTTGAGAATGTACATTTTCATCATCATATACATCAGTGTATTTAATCGCATTCAAGTTATGTAAATAAAATGGTGCATTATGAATTTTCGTATATTTTTTAAAAATTATTTTTTTGAAATTATTGTTTAAAAATGTTTGTATAATATTGAAATAAAATTTTAATTACAATTAACTGGTCAAATCAGGTCTGTCTCAAAAGATGTAGAAGTCTGTCTACTTTTTAAAATGAGGCCCTTAAATTATTTTATAAAAAGTTTAATATCTCAACCATACATGAACTCTACCAAATTCTCGGTTTTATATTTGAGTTATTAATAAAATGAGGCATCATAAAAATTAAATTTGAGTTATTAAAATAAGAGCAATTCTATAATTTAATAATTAAATTAAAAAAAATAAACTTTAGTGCTAAAATAAGTGAGAAGATAGTTGAGTGATAATGGTATTTATCTAAAAAAATAAAACATGTTTTTTTAGAATATCACGCATTTTTTTTACTGGCGTAGGGTTCCACGTCACTTTCTGTGATGAAAGTGGATAAATCCGTTAACAACAGAAAACGTCATGTATGAAATTGAGAATTTTTAAACTTTATATATGTGTAGACACTTATTTCGTCCGGTGTCTTTATTACATTGTATAACATATATGATATTATACATAATAATTTCAAAAATATATAATATAGTTTTTGAAAATTTATAATATAGTTTTTTAAAACACGATTTTGAAAACATATAATATAGTTTTCTTAAAAATTGTTTTTTTTAAAACATATATAATATAGTCTTTGAAAACGTATTTTTGAAAAAATATAATTTTGAAAACATATTATATGATTTTGAAAATATAATATATTATATAGTTTTAAATATATATTAAGCTTATTATTATTATATTAATTTTTATTTACTTATTGCTTTAGGTCTAAGTCCGGTCCAATAAGAGGAGTCCAAAAGTCCAAGTCTAGCAAGGGTATGAGGAAGCCCAGCCAGGTTCTGGCCCAATAAACCCGGTTAGGAGGAGAGAGTCTGACCTAGCCCGAATCAAACTAGGGTTTCATATCAAGGAATGGCGCCACACACATCACAGTCGTTAGATCAGGACAAGGATCAATGACCTAGATTGAAGGAAGTTAGGGTTTAGACCCTAGCATTGGCGCCGCACGAAAGGGCACGTGAGAACCATGTGCAAAAAGCATTCACCATAGAATCCCAAGCCAGTTTCCGTTGACCAACTAGCCGAGATTTTTTGGATCTCAAAATACCAGCAAAATAAAAATGATTCAGGACTGAACCATCCCCAAAACTCTTGACCAAAACAATCACCATAAAGCCCGAGTAAATCGGGAAACAGCGGAAATAACCTGAAACGATTGAAAACAACCTCAACCGGGGCTATATAATACCACAACAACCACAGAGGAATCACACAACAAATGTATGAGCAACCAAGAAGAAACATAACAAAAATTAAGGCAAAAAACTAAGCAATATTTCGGCATAGCAAAAAACAAAAATAACCAAACAACAAAGCCAAAGTCTTCGAGCGAACAGAAGGGGAAAACGCCAAAAAACAAAGGCACCAAGGTTGAGCGTCAATCTCGATTTGGAATGGGGGAAGGTTGTTCGTCGCCGTCGAACAAAAAGTAAAGAACCGAAAGGTTCTCTTTAGATCTACTTTGATAGGGGCATTTTCGGACGTTTGGGGTAGGTTTCGAGTTAGGGACGTGAAGGGGAAGCATTTAGGGGTAGTTTTAGATCTTCCGGCCACGGGGGTGCCTGGAGTGGAGAGGTATTGGCGGTTGTCTAGGACCAGAAGGGTGGCCGGTTGGGAAGAATTGAGAGGTTTTTTAGGGAGGAGAGTTTTTTTTTTATGAATTGAGGTGATAAATGTTTTTTTTAATTTTGGGCTATTTATAGGGGACCAGTTTGTAAATAACAAATAATTTAATTATTTTTGCAATCCATAATATTTTGATGCGCAGTTCACTTTGGTCACCTATTGTAAATTTTCCCTATAATTTTGAATTAATTCAATTTAGTCTTTATTTATTTTTTATTTTTTTGCAATTTAACCCCCCAACTTTTGATTTTTTCCTTGCAGCATTTAATTAACTTCAATTTGATCCTCGTATTTTTAAATTCCTTCTAATATGATCCTTTAATTTTAAATTTCTTGTATTTATTTTTTATCAAATTTTTATCTTTTCTTTTCGATTTTCTTTTATTTATTGTATTCTATACCTAACATTAATTTGATCTTTTTAGGACCATTTTTGAATTCGTCAAAGGTAAGTAATTTGGATCGAACTTTGAATTTAATTTAGCTTTTAATTTTCGCAATTAAGACAATCGAGAAAGTAAATTGGTACCGAAAGGGCAATACAAGGGTGCTAATCCTTCCTTGATTGTAATTGACTCCTAGACCTGATTAATTTTTGGTAAGACGCAGATCAGGTAAATGGTAAGTTAAGGTGTTCGGTCAACCTAATTTTAAATGATCGGTGGCGTCTCTAACACATCAAATTAAGTCGACACCTGATTACAAACCCGCCCGAAAGACGATTACAACACTATGAAACTGAAAATTTGGTATAGTTTCATGTATGAATGGGTATTTAACCTTATAAAACAATTATAAAATGAGACTCCTAAAATTTTTTTCCGTTAAAATAATGATTTAGTATTTTTATGAAAAAATGATTACAATTCATTTAGTGAGATAATAAAGAGAAAAGTAAAAGATTTTTAAAAAAATCTTATCATGAAACTTAATAAAGGAATGATAGAAAATTTGGGAAAATAATTTTTTTAATAGTAAATTTTTTAAAGTGTCAACCCCTAAATTTTGGGACATATGACATATCATATCATATACATGTAAAAGTAGAAACCTAGGACAAATAATATTATCTATTAATTTAATGTGTCATGTTATTTTTCACAAAGAATTAATGAAAACTAAGATATGGTATTAATTTTATAATAAAAGTAAAAATTTAATATTTATTTTATTTTAAAAGGTTTAATATCTAAAAAATATTTAAAATAATCAGTAATTACTTGTTCAATACCTAAACCATTAGTTTTGGTCCTTTTTAATGCCTAAGCTTTCAATTTTTTTAAAAATCATATCTAAAATTTAGTTTTTGTTTTAGTACCATCATTCAAAATTTAACGTTAAGTTTTTTTAAAAAAATAAAAATTTAGGTATTAAAATAGACAAAAATTGATAATCTAGGTACTGAACGCGTGAAGTTTTTAACGATGGATACTAAAATAAAACAAAAACTAAATGTTAGGCATGATTTTGAAATTTTTTTTGGAAGTTTAGATACTAAAAGTATCATTTACCCTAAAATAATTTAGCGATATTTTTAAATTTTTTCCAAAACTTTATTTTAGAGAGCGTTGTTGGGTTCGTCTCAATCAACTAGGGGCGTCCATTTGATCGAGTATTGTCGAGTTGAGTAAAATATTTCGAGTTATTTGAGTTGACGAGTCCTATTTTACAACTTGAACTTAACTTGAATTTTTTTCGAGTTGAGTCAAGTTTGTAAAAGTCGAGTCAATTCAAATTTTCAAGTTTCTTATTAAATTTAATTGTAAATATTTATAATATAAATTTTGATTCCAATTTAAGTAACTTTCTATAACCATATACAATACAATATATTTCTTCATATTTTTTATATGTGATATACATATATTATACAAAGTCTATTGACTCCACTCAATTTTAAAATAAATCCACTAATTACTAAAAATTTCGATTTATTCAAGTTGCATTTTACAACTCGATTTGAATTTGAAATCTTTAGAGTCAAGTCGAGTCAAAAAATTTAATTTTTTGAATCGAGTCGAGTTTTGCTCATCCTACCATCAACATTAACCATAGATTTAGGCCTTATTTAGGTCAGCAGGACATTAATGGAATAACATTCATTGATTAACGGTATTTTAGTCATTTTAAATTCTGGAAAAAACTAAAAAACAGAAGAAAAAACCCTAATGCAATTGCGTACTGATAGGGAATCCCAAATCCGAGGAAAACCTATTACAGAGATGAACGCGAGGCGAGCTATTACCGGGATCTTTACTCCGGCGAGGCAGGGAATCAACTCGTTGAGTCAGGACCCGAGTCATTTTCAGCAAACTAGAGGGATAAGAGTGAAGGTAAGGGACGGAACTTGGAGCGAGCGTTGGCGATGATGCAGCGGCTGATGCAATCGAGCGGAATCGAACGGCTGATAAAGCAGGAACAAACTCATCACATGAAGAACTCTGAGAACGGATTTTGGCTCGCAAGAATTTGGAGCGTAAGCTCCGATCGCAGGACCACGCTCGCAAGCTTCAGATGATCCTCGTCAAGAAAGTCAGGTACTTGAGAAATTTCTTAGTTTCTAAAATTTTGAATTCCCTTTTTCTTAGTGCTCTAAAAGGCTTAGATAGTCACAGTTAAAACTTGAAACTTAAATGAATCTAGCAGAGAATGTCGACAATGAATAATTGATGGATGACAACGCCTAGGGTATAATTGAATGGAATCAAGCACAATCTAAATTGAAATTTGATTTCAATAGAGTTTCATTTTGCAAAGCTAGAATTTAAATCGAGATAAGAATCAAATTGCTAGAGCTTAAAGCTCGTTTTTCTTGTTCTCATACTATTTCAAATTGGATTATTAATGTTTGAGCTCGCCTTTGTATTCAGTTTTCCAACATTAAAATTGAAAATAAAGTTTGATAAGAGCCACGGACTACTCAAGTCAAGTATTAATAGACTAAATCTGGCTCACTTAATAGCCTGAGCTGCTCAAGCTCTAATGTGATCGAGAATGATAATTGCAATTCAAGTTATTTCAAGACGAACTCGAATAGCTTACGAGCATAATGGTCTATGCATAATCATGCACTATCCTGTTGTATCTAGACTAGCTTTTGTCCTCTATTGTTTGTGTACTCTCTAGTAATATAAGCTCGGTTTTCATGCTCAGCTTCAAATCAGATATATGTTTTAGCTGAGATCGAATTAAGTTTTCCAATACTGTACAGGGTCTGCTTAGCATTGTGTTTCAAAATGTTTTTCAAGCCAAACCACCGTTTCAAGCCATAAGCAATGTCAAAAGATAACTTTACCAACTAATTTCAAACTGGTTTTTAACCCAGTCTCAAAAGCTAGAATTTCTAGCTTTTGGCTTTTGTAAAATCACTTTTTGAGTGAAATTATCCATTTTCTCTCATTTATCATCCCCGTCTTATTTTTTACTTTACAACACTATCTAAACTTGATATTTTAACTTTCAAAAGCACTTTTTCACATTCAAAAGTATTTTTTTCACAACATTTTTCAAAATCAATGCAATACTAACCCTAAATAGAAAAAAAAAACTCGATTAGCTTTGCGAGGTACTTAAGTCAAGCATTAGGATACCTAGCTTCGGCTTATTCAATAGCTTGAGCTGCTCAAACTCTAGCTCAACTAAAGAATGATCAAGCCAAATTTAGTTCTTTCAAGACATATTTGAGTTCTTTCAAGCATCGTTGTCTGATATACTATCATCCACTAACATGTTCGAATCTGCTCATTTATGTTTGCAAATCTTTTCTCTGTTACTCGTTTTGCATTTTCTTTTAATGGGAGAACATATATGAAAATGTCCTTGATTTTGTTTTGCAGGGGTCTGTGAGGACAGCTTTGGTGTAGTTTTCTCTGTAATTTTCCAAACTTTAATGCTGTTTTTGAAATCAAGAACCTTTTTCTTTCATTCTCCCCTTTTTTCCCGAAGCATGATGAATTGGGGGTTGTCATTTGTTTGTTTGTTTGTTTGTTTGTTTGTTTGTTTGTTTGTTTTTTACTGGTTTGACAGTTCTTTCATGGTTGGAAATTGAAGAACGATGTTACAAATTTCTGTGCATTGAAATAATTAGAGTTTTGACTTTTAATGCTGTTTGGACTATATTTTCTGGAAGCACTAATGAATGTCACATTTTTGGGCAAGGAGAGGGTAACGTTCGGCATCTTTTGGCTAAATGTAAACCTCTAATAGTAGATTATTCGGATTGTCAATAAATTTTGACACAGATGAGCGGCAATGGTCTGGCCAATGTAATTAAATGCCTCTCATTAATAAGAGGAAAGCCGAACAAAACGTTTTCATCAAAGTAACAATTCAATTCGTAATAATTTTAAAATTGATCTGTTAAATCTACTAAAAATGTTAGGGATTTCATTCTTGTTTTGTCTTATATGACACAAGAGCCGATGTAATAAACATGTCCACGACTAAATTGTCTCATTTTTGGTAGATCCACATATTAACTGAAAATATGTAACCATCGGGATGAGTTTGCAACTCATATCGCATACCGTTACACGCTATTAAAGCGATATATCGAAATACACCACTAATAAAATTATCTTTATTATGTAAATTAAAAATTATAATGGTTTATTTAAATTAACTATTTATTAAAATTTAATTTTTAATTTTAATAGGATTATAATTGAATTATAATTTTTTATTAAAAATAATAATTCATTTGACTAATTTAACTCTTTGAAGTTAAAATTTGTAACCTATATTAACGTAGGGTTCATCCCAAATTAATCATCAATCATTTTATAAAATATTCAGTGCTGCAGGAGAGTCACATCAAGAGGAAAACAGACTTGCTCGTTGCCTGGATCGATCGTCATCGCCCGAAACTGACTATCGCGAACAAAACTGTAATTGTTTGTGTCGGCCGCAGCCCGATCGTGTTCCTCTGTTTTGAAAGGGCGTAGATCGTCGGAGAACCATCCACGACTGTCTCCCGTCCCATCTCGAACGAACTCAACCACCGTTGTTCATTCATCGAAACCAGTCTGCGTGAATATTTTATTCGTTATCGTCGGCCGTGATTTGGGTACAAACCCCAATTGCTTTGCGTTTTAATTTGTTTGGTCAAATTACGTTCAAAACCCCCTTATTTTTTGTTTCATTCGTACAGTAAAATTGCATGCAAACCCCATATTTTCACCCGATTATATTTTAGACTTAGACGAATGGGTCTTGATATACATGGCTAAATTACATGAAAGCCCCCATACTTATATTTTAATTTAAATGGTTAAATTTCATCTAAATCTCCATATTTTCCCTGTTTAGATTTTAAACTTGTAGGTTTTAAATCCTCAATAATTTTGACTTTATTTTAAGGGTTAACTACTTCAAATACCACTCACCTTTAGGCTCGGGCTCGTTTATGCCATAGATGTTTCAATTTTGCCAATTTTAACACTGACGCTTATGTTTAACTGCAATTATGCCACTTCGTCGTTAATCCATTAACATGACGATGACATGGCATCTCCATTCCGTGACGGTGATGACGTGGCTCCTTCACCAAAACGATGTCGTTTTGGCACGACCGTTTTCATGCTCAAGAAGCCCAAACTACGTTTTGTTGATGGAAAAATACTTTTATGGTATTCAAACCATAGACCTTTAAAAACTAAAGCTAAGCACCCAACCATTAAACTAACTTAAGAACTTGTGATAACCTTAACAAAACTATTATAAATGTTAAATAAATAGTTTGAACACACTAATAATCTTCATCTCATTCCTTTGTAATCTCTGAAAAACAAGATCTTCTAATGGAATCCGACGAGGAAAATACAAAGTCGCAAGAGTGCTGGGAATTAAAACGAGAACGTAGTTTCCCTATAACCATATTAGTGAGAATACGAAATAAAAGCGGAAAAATAATACCCGAAATTGATAATAGAGTTCAGCCAATTATGCCTACGTCTCCGGACTGCTGCAGATCTTTTACTAAAGAGAGAAAATTTACAGGTGTTTACAAAACACTCACTACTCACAAGAAAACTCTTTAGTATTGAGAGAAAGAAATGATTTGGGATGATTTTGAAGCTAAATGGGTTAGGGTATTTATAATTGAACCTTAGGGACTAATCTTATAAATTCCCTAAAGTGCAATGACTAAATGCAATTATGTCATTTGCCATTTTTTCAACAAAAATAAATGCACCATTCGGTGCCCCCCATTTTTGACCCATTCTATTCGGTGCATTTAAAGCACCGAAAGAACTCTGACTTTTAACAATCTCCCACTTGAAGACTGATTTTAATTTTTCTTCACACTTCGATTAATGCAGCATCATTTCTGGTCTTGTTTACTCTAGCATGCCAACTGAAGCTGAACACAACTTCAGTTTGTCTGTTGTCACCGTCTTTGTCAACATATCTGCCGGATTTTGAGCTCCACTAATCTTTTCAAGTTTTAAAATCTCATCTTTCAAAAGAGACCAGATAAAATGATATCGTAATTATATGTGCTTCGTCCTGGAATGAAAAGAAGGATTCTTTGCTAGATGGATAACACTTTAATTGTCGCAATACAATACATTGTTTTCTTGTTTCTTGCCTAACTCTTCCAAGAAACTTTGGAGTCAAATCATCTCCTTGCTGGCTTCCGTAACAGTGACATATTATGCTTCAGTTGTAGAGAGAGCAACTATCTTCTGTAGTTGAGAAAACCAACTCACTGCGGTACCTCCTAGAGTATAGACATACCCTGTAGTACTTCTTCTGATGTCAACATTTTCTGCTAAGTCAGCATCTACATAGCCTGTCAGTATTGTATCTCCACCTTTGAAACAAAGTGCTTTGTTTGTAGTACCTCGCAGATATCTGAGGATCCATTTGACTGCTTCTCAGTGTACTTTGCCTGGATTATTCATGTACATGCTAACATCTCCCACTGCATGAGCAATATCTGGTTTAGTACAAACCATGACATACATTAGACTTCCAATTGTTGAGGCATATGACACCTTCACTATGTGTGCACGTTCTTCCTCCATCTTTGGTGATTGTTCTTTGGAGAGTCTAAAATGAACAACTAAAGGTGTACTTACTGGTTTAGAATCTTGCATGTTGAACATGGAGAGTACTTTGTTGATGTACTCAACCTGTGATAACATCAAAGTCTCCGACTTTGTGTCTCTCTTAATCCTCATCCCAATGATCTGCTTTGCAGCGCCCAAATCTTTCATTGCAAACTGCTTCGATAATTTTTGCTTCAAGTTTATAATCTCTTGCATGTCTGAGCCTGCAACGAGCATGTCATCAACATACAACAATAAAATACTAAAGATGTTGTCGAACTTCTTGATGTAGCAACAATGATCTTCATGACATCTGGTAAAATCACTGCTACTCATGAAACTATCGAACATTTTATACCACTCTCTAGGAGCTTATTTTAAACCATACAAGCTCTTCTTCAACCTGCATACCAGGTTTTTCTTGCCTACCTCTATGAAGCTTTCTGGCTACCTCATATAGATTTCTTCTCCAAATCACCATGAAGGAAAGCTGTCTTTATATCTAACTGCTCAAGATGTAGATTTTCTGCAGCTACAATTTTCAACACCAGTCTGATTGTAGACAGTTTCACGACTGGAGAGAAAATTTCATTGTAGTCAATACCTTATTTTTACTGAAAACCTTTGACAACCAATCTTGCTTTGTAGCGTTTGCTCCCATCGTGCTCTTCTTTGATCCTGTAAATCTACTTGTTATGGAGTGCTTTCTTGTCTGGTGGTAATTTAGCTAATTCCAACGTCTGATTTGACATAAGCGAGTCCATCTCATCTTTCATGCAAGACTCCCATTTGACTGAATCCTCCACCTGCATTGCTTCATCATAGTACTCTGGTTCACCATTGTCAGTCAGCAACAAGTAGTGCAAAGAAGGCGAATAATGCTGGGATGGTTTAGGAATTCTGGAGGAGCTTCTCAGTTCTGGTGTGTCTGGTTCTTCTTGAACTGCTTCAGGACTGATCTGAACATCATTTCCATAAATCTCCTCAAACTCAGCAAATTCCTTTGTTTTAGCTTCGGTATTGGAGCTACTTGATTCTATGGTTGACATGTCTTTGTACATCACATTTTCATTGAAAATGACATCTCTGCTTCTGATGATCTTTCGATTTTCGTAATCCCAAAATCGGTAACCGAACTCATCACCACCATAACCAACAAAGAAACATTTGTTGGTTTTGGCATCAAGTTTGCTTCTTTCAGCAGAATTTATGTATACATAAGAAATACAATCAAACACTCTTAAGTGTGAAATGTTTATTTCTTTCTTGCTCCAAACTTCCTCTGGTATTCAACCATCCAAAAAAACTAAGGGTCCACGGTTGATCAGGTAAGGTGCAGTGTTGATAGCTTTAGCCTATATCAATTTGGGCAATCCAGTATGTATCCTCATGTTTCTGGCACGTTCATTCAGAGTTCTGTTCATGCGCTTTGCTACACCATTCTACTACGGTGTCATGGGAACTATTGTCTCCATCTTGATCCCATTGTTTGCGCAGAAATCTTTGAATCTACTATTTCTGTACTCTCCCTCCATTATCAGACCTCAACCGCTTGACTTTCAGACCAGTCTCGTTTTCCACCATGGCCTTCCATTTTCTGAAGGTATAAAAGACTTTTGATTTCTTCTTCAGAAAATAAACCCACACCTTCATTGTTGAATCATTGATGAAGGTGACATAATATAGTGAGCATGCAAGAGATGGAACTAGAATGGTCCCCATACATCAGTATGAACCAACTCTACCTTTTCTGCCTTGGGTGTCTTACCAATCTTTACAAAAATGACTTTCTTTTGTTTGCCAAAGATGCAATCCTCGCATAGTCCGACATCTACATTCTTTAGATCCAACAGCTTCCCTTTTGACAAAAGTGTCTTCATTCCTTTCTCGCTCATATGGCCAAGCCTTTGGTGCCATAGGTTTGATTTTCCATCAGCATCTGCTACTGCAATGATATTCTCTAAATTTGAGGTTACATAGAGAGTAACAGTCTTCTTTCCACGAGCAATGACGAGTGCTCCTTTGGTAATCTTCCATTCATAGCCTGAAA